AGGTGGGTGCTAGGAATCGAACTCTGTTCCCTGGAAGAGCAGCAAATGCTCTTAACCACTGAGCAATCTCTCCAGTCCCTTTTCTTTAATTTTTTTTTTAAAAACCTTATTTTTAATTATATGCATATGTGTAATTTCTGAGTGTGAATGCAGTTCCTAAGGAGGCCAGAAGAGGGCACTGGAAACCCACACACCCCCAACCCCCACCCCCGGAGCTGGAGTTAGAGGCTGTTTTGAGTCACCCAATTGCTGCATATCAAACTCTTGCAAACTTCTGCAAGAGTGGTGTGTAGGCTTCCCTGCAGACATCTATCCAGCCCCTTCCTCTTAATGAGTTAGCTTCTCCCTATTTGTCCAGTTCCTAAAACTCACCATGCCTTGTTTTTGTTTTTAAGGCAAAGAAAAAAAAAAGTGCTTTTACGAACTGGAAGATGACTGGGTAAACCAGAAGACCCAGATTGGCTTCCCAACGCCCTCTGCTGGTCTCCACAGGCACTGCATGCACACGAAATACATTCAGGGAAACGCCCATTAGCATAAAGGAAGAGTAGATGAACAATGCTTTGCAATGAGCTCTTGCTTCGTGTGAACCTTCACATCAATCGGTCTCTTTCTCTAGACCCCATCAGCCTCGCTTCAGTTTCGGTTAGCTGTTTTGAAGACTCCCTAGTAATTCTCACAGATAACCATGTTGTGGGCTGAAGACAGCGTTCCTTCCTCACTCGCAACAGCGTTCACGTGGCTTCTCTTTCTTGCCTGCTTGTTTGACGGGGAGTCTCTAGGCCAGTGTTCGATGGACGTAGGAAGGTTGGAGAGTTTCCCCAGGCACGGGGAAGAAGCCTAGACGTCCTCCTTCAGACACCACAGATCCACAGAGGAAAAACTCTGGGCAACCCTTGTTAAAAGATTTTTAAAACATTTTCACCAAAAATGGGTGCTTTTGTCCAAAGTTGTGGGGATTTTCCCCCAGCTATCAAGATAGTTACTTGCTTCCATTTTCACACGAGCTGATTTTAAAACCGCAAACTAATCTTGGATTCTAGAATATAAATCTGTAAGACTGAAGACAAGATAAAAAATTTCAGATTTTGTTCACACACATGCACACTTCAAAACATTTTTATTTAAGATAAGTGTGGTGGCATATGTCTTTAATCCTAGCACTTGGGAGGCTGAGTTCAAGGTCAGCCTGTAGATTGAATTCCAGGACAGCCAGGGTTACACAGGAAAACCATCTCAAAAAAAAATGGATTCTCTGTGCACGCATAGATAGTAGGTATGTGTGTGGTGGCTCATGGGGAAGTCAGAGGACAACACTCCCTTTCCACTACGTGGGTCCTGGGTACTGAACTCAGGCTATTAGGTTTGATGGCAAATGCCTTTACCTCCTAAGCCATCTTATTGTAACACACACACACACACACACACACAATTTTAAGATGGGATCTTATGTAGCCCAGCTTGACTTCAAATTTAGCTCTGTGGCAAAGAATGACCTTGAACTTTTGACCCCTCTGCCTTCACCCTGTCCCAGTGACAGGGTCAGAGGTAAGCGTCCCCATGCTCAGTTTATGTGGCACTGGGTCTTGAACCCAGGCTCTGTGCATGCAGGCAACACTGCCAGCTGAGGTCCGCCCCAGCTGTTTGGTTGATTTCGTCTCTAGGTTAAGGAAGGATAATGTTATAGACCCTTCTTGTAATACCCTTGTCTGCTTTTGCTGTCAAGCTAACCTGATAAACACTCCGGAGCATTCCTTTGGCTCCCTGTACCAGAATGAGTCCAGAACTGGCTGGTGTGAAGGACCTAACCTACATCCCACTGCCACCGGGGTCTAAAATGTCTCCTGCAGGAAGGTTTGTCGCAATAGCTCTAGCAATGGGAGTAGGGTTATGAGGTCATCGAGTCCTAGCAGGAGCTCTGTCCATGTTAGATGTTGAGGGAATGTGTACATTTCATGTAACTTATTACATTTATCAGCAGGAAGTCATTTATAATGTTCCCCTCATGTCTCTGGGGTCCACAGTGATGTCCCCGCTCATTCCTGGTAGTTATAAATTTTTCAATTGTCTTCCTGGCTTTAGGTCTGGCTGGAGGCCTATTGATTTTATTAAATTTGAAACAGCTTTGGCTTTTATTGGTTTTCTGTATTAGTTTTCTCTTTTCCGTTTCATTGATTTCTAAACTTGTATATTATTTCATTTCTATTGTTGCTTTGGCTTTTATTTGCTTTTTTCTTAGGTTTCTTAAAGAAGATGATCAGGCCCTTCTGCTTTTTTAAGTAGATATGCATTTAATTGCTATCTGCGTCCCTCCTGTTTTAGCTACATCCCATAATTTTGAAAAATTGAGGTTTCATCTTCATTTACTTCAAAATGTTTTTTATGTTTCTCTGGAGACTTAATTCCCTCATCTTTGGATCATTCCAATTTATTTTTAGAGAGTTGCCAGATATTTTCCCATTACTGATTTTTGTTTGGTTTTTATTCAGCGTGGTATAAGAGCACACTGCATAGGACTGAAAATCTCCTAAATGTGCTGACATCATTTTATAGCCAGGAAATATAGCTCACTTTGGCAAACATCTCATAGATTTTGAAAGGGTTGTGTTTTCTGTTTCTGTTGGTCTACAGGAGTCAGCTAGGTCGGATTGGCCAAGAGAGGTGACCTTTGTGTCTTCCTTCCAGAGGCCGCCATTTACTGAAAGGGCAACACTCAAATCTCACGTGGGTTTCTAGTTTCTCCTATGTCTCCTGCAAATGACATAGGCTCTTAACCTGTACACTTTCAGGTACTATAAGTAGGTACATATACATCTAGAATCGCTACATTTTCTGGATGAATTCCAATTGGCTACTCTGTCGTCAAGAAATATTATACCATTATACATCGGGAGTAGCAAGGTAATTCTTGGTTAAGAACACTGGCTGCTCTTCCAAAGAACTGTGGGTCAGTGCCCAGTGCCCACACAGTGGCTTACAACCATCTGTAACTCCAGTCTCAGGGGTCAGTGCCCTCTTCTGTCTTGCATGGACACCAGCCATGCACCAGGAATGCGTGCTAGGCAAGCACTCTACCACTGAGCCGTGTCCCCAGATCTTTCAGGGTCAAATTTTAGAAAGCACGGAGACCCTGCGGTGCCTGTCCCTTCAAGGGTAGCTTTCTCGTGTCCAGGTACAGTGACTAGGTAGGTAATCTCTGTCATCAATCAAATGGTGTTTATGAGAGCAATGGGCAGGCTTAGGAGAGAACCCTGGGAAAGGGGGAAAGGACAGGGGGGGACGGATAACAGCCCCAAGGAGAGCAGATTTTTTTTCACACTGGAAGAGCCCTGAAATGTCACAGCAGTGCCGAATCACCCTCCAAGGTTGTATGCTTAGCAGACACTTTCAAGATTCCCTACCAGCTTCTAAACAGCAGGCTCACAGTCACTTGGCCACATGCACAGAGCCAGCAGCGAAGACTGGCTGGTGTTATGTGGTTCCTGGGACTCTGTAGGCTTTCTGGCCTTGAGAAGGAAAGAGTAGGAAAGGGAAGCATAGAATGGGGAAAGGTCCCAAGGCTCTCAGGCTCACAGCGAGACTTGATTCGGGGCCGTAGTATTTTATATTTAACATTGCTCCTTCTGAGGCAAGACGAAAAGAGAAAGGAAATTTAACGAGGTGGCCTTGGTATCAGAAACCCCGCCTGGAGGGAACTATTGCTTCATCTTTCCAGCTGCCAGGCTCCCCTTGCTTCTGTTCTCTGCCACAGACACAGCGCTGATTGCTTTTTGTCAGCTTGACACAAACCTAGATATATCTGGGAAAGGGAACTCTCGACTGAGGAACCATCAAATTGCCCTGTGGACAAGTCTGAGAGATGTTTTCCTGGATAATGATTGATGTGGGAGGGCTCAGGACACTGTGGGTGATGCCATCATCATGGCCCTGGGCTACACGAGAAAGAAAACCAAGTGAGCCGTGAAGCAAGGCAGTAGGTAGCACGGCTTCCCGTGGCCTCTGCTTTGGTCCCTGCCTCCAGGTTCCAGCTTGACCTCCCGCCCTAACCTCCCCCTCACTCAGTAAGAGACTGAGAGATGGCATGGAGGCCACATAAACCCTTTCCTTCCCTAAGCTGCCTTGCATCAGAACAGTTATCACAGCAACAGAAACGCAAACTAAGACAGACATTATAGTTCTAGATTTTTCTACCACTTAGAATTCCACAGTCACCAAGCTCACCTGCAGAGTAGGACACGGCTGCTCCAGGTGTCTGTATTTACTCACAAACACAGACAGCAGCATATCCTTGGAGAACAGGGAAAGTGACAGAGACGAGGTCCTGTGGACCAGAGCCTTGTTCCGTCATGGGTCAGAAGTGAGTTCTTGCCCTCAGACGACGGTTTTCCCTCCTGCAACGTTCCTGACAGAATCTTCCACCTACTGCTAAAAGCACTGGATCAGGAAAGCCAGTCGAGATGATGCAGTAACAGCCTAGTGGCACAGGCCTATAGTCCAGCTGCTGGGGAAACTGAGGCAACAGGGTTTCAAGTTCAAGGCCTGCCTAGGTTACCGAGTGAGTTCACGGCCACCATGGATATTTTAGACTGATTGGGGCTGGTGAAGTAGCTCCATGGCAGAGCACTCACTGAGCAAGTGTGAAGTCTAGGTGGATTCTTCTTTGGGCTGCCAACTCACAAAAAAAACTGCATGGAAACTTACTATTATTTATGATAGTTTGGCCTATAACTTAGGCTTGTCCCATTAGTTCTTATAACGTAAATTAACCCACTTGTATTAATTTATGTTTTGCCTTAAAGTTTTGCCCTTCCCTCCTGCACGTCTTGCTTCCCCTGCATCCAGCTGGCAACTCCCCCTTTTTACTTCTTCCCAGAAGCCCCGCCTAACCTCTTCCTGCCTAGCTATTGGCCATTCAGCTCGCTATTCAACCAATCACGGTGACACATCTTCACACAGCGTAAAGGATTATTCCGCAGCAGTGAAGTACTGACCCAGTATTGCAAAACCAAAGCACACAGTAGCGTGCCTTATGTCTGGAATGAACTTGCATACTTGCCAGTTAACAGGCTCATAAGCCACGAAGAAGCCCAGAATTCCGTGCCTCTGGACGCGTCACAGCCTGAACGCTGCTCCCACAGGTACGTGAAAAGGAAGACAGTCAGCATGGAGGGAAACATCTCTTTCCCGGTTGGATGTGAAATGTTCCCCCACAGGCATAGGTATTTGAACATTTGCTCCTTAGTTGGGGCACTATATTGTTGCTGTGGAACCTTTAAGATGCGAGACTTACCTGGAGGGCGCTGGTTTTGGAAGTCACAGCCTGGTGCTGCTTCCTGTTCTGCTGAGAGGCAAGGAGTCCTGGCCCCTGCTTTCCCACACTGGGGAGCTTCCTGTGTGCCATCCCCATTATGATGGACATGACGGTCACACCATGAATAGAAGTAGATCCTTCCACCTGTAAGCTACCATTTGGCTATTTGCCCATGAGGGGGCCTGCCAGTCACCATGGTTGCTCCTTCCTGGGCACTCATGAACCTCCCTCAGGCTGAAAATGAACCCCCAGTGGTTTCCCAATGTGCCTGGGAAAGACCCCCCTAACAGCCCCAGCTCCTAATTTCTACCCAACAGACCCACCCCCAAAACCTGTTCAGAAGGACCAGGTTTCTGCCCCAAAAGCAGAAAAATTTTTACATGATCAAATGTCCAGGTGTGCTGGCACTTGGGAGGCTGTGGCAGGATGACCACAAGTCCAAGACCATGCTGGGCAAGAGAGTGAGACCTGGTTTCAGAAAAACAAAATTTCAAAGTAAACAAATAAATAATATTAATTTAAAAACAATGGGTGAACCCTGGCTGATGAGAAGTAGGAAGTGACAGACTGCTTACTTCTTCTCCTTCTTCAACCTCGGCGCCTGCTCTGAGAAACACTGGCTCTCCACACCTCCAGGAGACGTCCCAGCAGATAGGCAACTGATTATCATTTTATTTTGCTGATTTTTTGAGTTTATTTAACCTCAACTTCTCAACTTTGCCCAAAGCTGTGAGAATTGTAGAGGAATGGGGCAGTCTGCTATGGAACAATCCCTTGGCACACTGTAAATATGCATTATTCTCATTGGTTGACAAAGAGTTGACTGACTAATAGTTAGGTAGAAAAATGCTAGGCAGAACTGTCCAACAAAAAGCAAGCTCAGGGTAGGAGAAGACAGAGTTGCCAGGAGACTCAGAGGAAGCAGGAGATGAACATGCCGTACTGGAAAAGATACCGAGCCACGTGGTAGAACACAGTTAGAAATCTGGTGGATTAAAGTTGTAAAAGTAGTAATGAGCCTAAGCTATCAGCCAAACATTTATAATCGATAATAAGTCTCTGTGTGGTTATTTGGGAGCAGCTGGTAGGACAAAGCTGATCAGTGGTCCTAACAAAATAATCCCCCCCCAAAAAAAAACTCCACATACAGTAGTCGAGGGTTGCTCTAGATCACTAGGAGTGGCTTCTAATCACTCACACGCTGATGTGGGAAGCCAGGAAGAGAGAAAATAGAAAATGTCTATGAGTCTAAAATATTCTGAAAACACTTACTTTTAAGTAAGGGAGTTGGGGACATAGAGATCCTAAGCCTGCAAAAAATGCTCAGAAATCTGAGCGAGTATAGCTGGGAAGTTATCCACTGCTCTGTGCACTAGGGTGTGTGCACAAGGAAAGTCAAGATTTAGAGGGAAAAAATAACGTCATCTGGAGAATTCAAGAAATAGAGAAATACTGGAGGAGGGAAAAGGGAAGGGACTTGCCACCATAAGTCATTTGGTTTCTCTGTTGGTTTTGATTTGGGACATGTGGAGGCCAGAGGACAACTGTGGGAGTCATTTCTCCCCTTCCCCAGGATCAAACTTGGGTCACCAGATTTGGCAGCAAGGGTCTTCATACGGGGAAAAAAAAACTGTGTATTAATATCAATGCTATAGGGCTGGAGAGATGGCTCAACAGTTACAGTGCCTGCTGATCATCACAGAAACAGGGTTTGGATCATGTCCTGCAAATCCCCTGTAACTCCAGCTCCAAGGGATCCAATACTCTCTCTGGCCTCTGCAGGAGCACAGACCTAGATACCTGCATGAACACAGGCACACATAAATAGAACATTTAGGACATATTATTATAATAAAATGAAAGGATTGTAAAATTCAACTCTAATTCTTCATGCATAGAAAAAAAAAACAGAGCCGTATGGTGGTGGCAAATGCCTTTAATCCCAGCACTCAGGAGGCAGAGGCAAGCGGATCTCTGTGAGTTCAAGGCCAACCTGGTCTACAAGAGCTAGTTCCAGGACAGGCTCTAAAACTACAGCAAAATCCTGTCTCAAAAAAAAAGGCAAAAAGAAACAAAACAGAACAGGTGTGGAGTATACAATTTTAATCCCAGCACTCAGGAAGCAGAAGCAGGAAGATCTCTGTGACTTGATGTCAGCCTGGTCTGCACACTGAGTTCTCAGAGGGACAGGGCTACATAGAGAACCCTGTCTCAGAAATGAGGAAAGGGAGGGAGGGAAAGGAGGAAGGAAGGAAGGAAGGAAGGAAGGAAGGAAGGAAGGGAGGGAGGGAGGGAGGGAGGGAGGGAGGGAGGGAGGGAGGGAGGAAGGAAGGAAGGAAGGGCCAGGTGTAGTGGCTCATGCCTTTAATTCTAGCACTCAGGAAGCAGAGGCAACAGTTTCCCTGTGAGATTGAGGCCCACCTGGTATACACAGTGAGTTCCAGTAAAGCCAGAGCTATGCAGAGAGAATATATGTCAAAAAAAAAAGGAAAGGAAAGGAGAGAGAGAGAGAGAGAGAGAGAGAGAGAGAGAGAGAGAGAGAGAGAGCTGATTCCAACTTTCCCCCGAAATAGTTGTAAAGAGATGACCCGGCACAATGCCCTTGGGAACACACAGATCCACATTCTGTTTGAAAGTCATTGGCAAGAAAAATTAAAATTAAATATTAACCTCACACAAAACAACTTGCAATCCCATTGCCAAATACCAATCATAACAAAGGTCTTCATCAAAAACATGACCCTATTGCTCTTTAGGGATGAAGCCGTCTCCACTCTATTTTCAGCAGACCATACTAACTCCTATATTCCCCACCTTCCTTTTCCCTCTCCTCACTTCCCAAGGGAAAGATTTCTTTTCCCTAGTTTTCCTCCAATGGACAGTAGTGGCCTTGACTCCTGGGAAGGGAAGGATGACAGTTGCCCCCTACATGTGAAGCTGCATAACTGTCACTTCATACAGGGTTCTGTGGGTTTCTTATTCGGAGGCAAAACCAAATCTCTACTGGGAACAATTCATATTAAGAACAGTTTGCCCGTTTTTTAGATTTATTATCATTACTGTATGTGTGGTTTATGTGTACATAAATGTAGGTAACTTCGGAGGCCTGAAGTGTCAGACTCCCCTGGAGCAGGCGGTTGTGAACTGACTTGGGTGCTGGGAACTGAACTTAGGTCAATATGTGCTCTCACTATGAGCCATACCTGATCCTGGACCCTGACACACCCTTTATGTATATGATGTGGCATTGGTGGTATAGTGCTAGGCATTGCTGCCTTCCAATTCCTTATTGTGCCTCATTTCTGAATTTCTTCTTGGATGGTTGTTGTAGGAAGCCACTTGTTTGTTCTTGGCTGCTCAGCCCTGAAATAATCACACAGAAACTATATTAATTAAATTACTGCTTGGCCCATTAGCTCTAGTTTCTTATTGGCTACCTCTTATATCCTAATTTAACCCATCTCTATTAATCTGTGTGTCACCACATGGCTGTGGCTTACCAGCAAGTTTCCAGTTTGTCTGTTCCCAGCAGTGGCTATCTGGCATCTCTCTGACTCTGCCTTCTTTCTCCCAGCACTCAGTTTTGTTTTCCCCACCTACCTCTATTCTGCCCTGTACAGGCCCAAGACAGTTCCTTTATTAACCAATAGCATTCACAGCATACAAAGGGAATCCCACATCACCTCCACTTTTCTGTTTAAATAAAAAGGAAGGTTTTAATTTTAACATAGTAAAATTACATATAACAAAACGGTATCAAGCAAGAATTACAGTTACAATATTTATATCTACTTTATCTTTTATCATAACTAAAGAAAACTATAACTACCTATTCTTCAACTCCACCAAAGACCCCAAAAGGCTATAATATTACCTAAATAAACAGGAAATGCATTGTAAGCAACTTCCAAAACTCTAGAATTGACAGAGACATCTTACTGTCTGGACAGTCACCCAAAGTCCTTCTGTAACATTGGAGTATCAATCTTCAGCCTACTAGTCCATAGTATCTGGCAGGTTTTTCCATGAAGCAGAAAGTTTCAAAGACAGTTCTGCCTATATTGGCAGTTTGTCAGTCACTTTCTTCTGTATCCTGCAGAATGTCTGGCATATTCTTTCATGTAGCATGAACCCTGAAGGACTGTCTCATCTTTAGGCAAGATCATCAGTCATTTCTCTTTGGGTCCTGCATGTCCAGTTCATACAGCATAACATCAAACAGTCCAGGCAAGAGCAGTTTCTTGCCCAAATGGCTAGCAAACTCTATAAGGAACTGCTTTGATGTCCATCATCCTCTTGAAGTAGATTGGTGCTGCCAGGATCAGATGTGTCTCATCGTCATGAAAAGTCCTAAGTTATTAAAACATTTTAAATGCCATATTCTGTAGCTCTTTGAAGTGGTTGGAGAATAACTATCTATCTGAAATACATCTCTGTACATCTAGAAAAACCTAGCTAACATGACTACAAGCTTGATTTTTATAGATTGTCTATTAACCTATATTTCTTAATTATGCATTAAATTTTCAAATGAGCTGCATAAACACAATACCTTAATCAAGAACAGAAATATATAGCCTGGTGGTGGTGGCACACACCTTTCATCCCAGCACTCGGGAGGCAGAAGCAGGCGGATCTCTGTGAGTTGGAGGCCAGCCTGGTCTACAAGAGCTAGTTCCAGGACAGGAACCAAAAGCTACGGAGAAACCCTGTCTCGGAAATCAANATCAATAAATCAAGATCCATACCAATGCAAAGTATCTACTCTACAGCATATCCCCCTTTAAATGTAAACAAACATTTAAAAACAGTATTTGAGAATCTGAG